AATGCATTAACATTGTCATATCCATCACCATGCTAAAATGTTCCGAAAGTTGTCATGATTGAAATATATATATATATATATATATATACTACAAAAATACAGATTTTTATAGAATTAATTTTTTTATATATATTTTTTATTTATTTATTTTGTTGTTGTTGTTGCTATTACTTGCACTAGACTGCTTAATCCATATGACCACTGTATGTTTCTTCTTTCATATGCTGGCTGGCAGGTGGTAGTGACAGTTGCTCTGTGGGCAAGAAGCTTCTTCTTTGTGCGACGATGGGAGAGAGAGAGGCATGCTTATTTTCACCTGTTGCTCCTGCTGGGACCTGGATTAAACACTGCCTGTCCACACACTTCAGGCCTAAACACTCACTGGAGGAGGGTTCCCAAAGTGACCACTGGTCATCTCAGCCATTTTGCACCAGAAAGAGACTTGTGGTGATCCTTCTGGTCATTTTGGCTTTGGTTGTCATGATGCTGCTCATGCTGCTGAATTATTATTGCATTATGGTCTGGCACCTGTGTCAACATGAAGAGTCTGTTCTCCCAATGTTTCAAAATACCACACCAGAACTGGACAAGTAGTGCTGAGATGTTACACATTTTGTTGTTTTTGTTTTAATATTTGGTGCACCCATCTGGGATGCATTTATATGTTATGCTGTTGTGTTGTTGTTTTTTTTCTTTTTTGTTTGATGAACTGAAATAACACTGAAATTTCCAGTGTGAGATTTTTCAGTGTACTATATGTGTGATGTAAGAAGGAAATTATTCACACTGTCAGGTTACTCAGATTTGGAACTTTTAGTTTTGTATTTATTTAAATGATTTCCTAGGTTTGCCATTACACTGAAAATTATGCCTATTTTAATTGGCAAAGTATTTATCCATTTATTTAAATCTGTTAATCTTTATCTAGCGAAGCTTGAAATGTAGTTAAATACTCTTCATAAAACCGGTTCTGTTTAAGCTTTGTGTGCTTGTGAATCTTTAAACAGAAATGTTTTGTGAGAAATGTTGTTAATTCTCCTTTCAAGCCTTTCAAACATACACAGATCAGAATATCACTCAGTACATGCTTTTATTGAACAGACTGTATTGTAAACAATGAATCAAAAACATAACCTTTGTCATATTTTTGACGCCTCATGCAATTTAAGATCTGGATGTGTGGCCTTAATTTAGTCATTCTGTTTGTCATAAAATAAGCATTATTGCTCATGCATTCAAGTGGACAGTAATCCTCCCCAAAGATGATGTCACACATTTTCCTCCTCCCTTTTCAACACCAAACAGGAAATTCTTACCACATGTAGAGTAGTGCATTGTGGATACAAAGTAGGCCTGTAAATGCAAAGTGCCTCTGTTCTTGGCAGGAATTATCCTATTCAGAGCAAGCTGTGTCAGCTTTTGAATAGAGGCAGTGGACATTGAAAGAAGAGAAACCTTGTAAATAAAACTGGTCTCCATCACATTAGTCCTGCTGCACATTAATGACTCTAGATTTAGTCAGCTGCACCAGCGGACACACCTTTAGTCACATTTGAAACAGATGATGTACGAAGATTTAGGAATGTTTGGAACACTCCCTTATACTACAAAAAAGGTTGTAATTAATGCTGGACATTGTGTTTCTACTAACAATCTATTCTACAGCTATTATTATTACAACAACAACTATTCTACATCTATCTGTATTTCCAAACAGTCTACATAACAATAAAACATGTACACTTGCAAAATTGGTGTTTATTATTATTCTAAAGAAATGGTTCTGCTGTTACTAACTGGGCTTCTTTGTACAAGAGAAGTCTGTTCTCTTGTTAAGGAACTGGGCGGGCGGAGGGGTTGCCCTTGTTCCTTCACCATCAATTGCACCAGGCAAACCCCAACTTTACTGATGGATAAACTGTTTGTTAAGTTTGTTGTCCCAGCTGTGCTCTTTCTGTTTGGAATTGTGTCTATTCTACTCCTGACTGTATCTATACATGAAATGAGAGAGCCACCACAGTACATGGTAAGTATGATTACTTCTGTGTCCTGATAAAAATGGCAAATTGTTTCTTTTGTGTTCTCTTTCTCTGTCTCTTGCTCTCTATCTTTCTTTCTTTCTCCTGTAAGCTAAGTTGCATTTTACGCAGTGTATCCTGATTAATAGGAGGAATGGTTTTGGCACGATACAAAGAGGAATTGTGGCATTTTTGTAAACAAGTAAAAGGCCTGAAAACAATGTATGATCACAAAAACATTATGTTTTAAGCACACACTAATATGTTGAGCACAGCTACCTGAACCACGAGTAAAAGTTAGCATCTGAAATTACATTATAACCAGGTACAGCATATTTAGCCTTGGGGAGGTGAGCCTTCACAAGGTAAACATAGAAAATGGTCATTTTGTTCCTGTTGGGAACCCTGGAACAAATGAAGATGCAGACTCAGGATAGTTTGTTATGTCAGATACTTCTGGGAATTGCATCTCCATGAAGTGTGTCTTCTGGCAACAGGGAACAGGTACATGTTAACCCCTGGGAGCCGTAGGTAAACACTGTGTAACAGGTCACAGAAACACACAATATGTACAAAATCTTAGAAGTAATTGTACTTGAAATATGATGGTTATCTCAAAATATGTGATTACAGTGGCTTCTGCGAATAAATCACTGTCAAAACATGTTATGTTCTCATCATATTATGGAAATTTTAGAATTTGACTAAAACTTTAGGTTCTGTTTGAGATAAAAACAAAAGATAATACATTCTAATCACATAGATTTGAATATTGTTTTGCCTCTCTCTCTCTCTCTCTCTCTCTGTCTCTCTCTCTCTCTCTCTCTCATTGCAGTATGGGGTTGTGCTGGACGCTGGCTCCTCACACACTGCCTTGTACATCTACAGATGGCCGGCGGACAAATTAAATGGCACAGGCGTGGTCACCCAGCACAGCGAGTGTCATGTCAAAGGTCAAATGACTTGCTGAAATATTTAACATTTTCAAGCAGATTAATGGTAGAGATATAGATAAACATCTAAAGCGTAAATAAAATTAAGCATCAATATGCTAGTTTAATAAATATAGAAATGGATGTAATTATTGTGTCTTATTTTTCTTTGGTGCAGGAGGAGGAATCTCTAGTTATGCTGGGCAGCAGGGTGCAGCGGCCCACAGCCTTGAGGCGTGCTTGAAGCAGGCCATGCGCGACATTCCCCCAGACAGACATCATCGCACCCCTGTGTATCTAGGAGCTACTGCTGGCATGAGACTTCTGAAGTGAGTGTGTTTTTTTTTCTACGTCTATGTTGCTACATGTAGTATTGAATCGTTTTATAAGGCCACATATAAAAGAACACATCCTATTTTAAAGGGGTGGTTCATTGCGATTTCACTTTTTTAACGTTAGTTAGTGTGTAATGTTGCTGTTTGAACATAAACAATATCCGCAAAGTTACGAAGCTGAAAGTTCAATGCAAATGGAGATATCGTCTTTTAAAATTCTGGCAGTTTAATGCCTACAAAAACGGCTGGTAGGGACTACAACAAGTTACTTCCCGGGTTCGTGACATCACAAACCCAGATAAACCCCGCCTTCGGGAAAAGGCAGCAAAGGGGGCGAGGCCATGCTGCGCTGCTTTAGAGAAGAGGAAGAGAAAACTAGAGGTGCACGTAAAAATCTATTCATATATGAATCACGATTCTGTCTTCTAACGATTCTAATGGATTCACAAGTTTCAAAATCAATGTTCTAAAGCAGCAGTTCTTAATACTGTTCCTCGCGTCCCCCTGCTCTGCACATGCTCTGCATCTCTCTCTCTCTCATTCAGCTCAGCTCCAACAAAGAACTGTAACGTCCAATTATACACTTATTTTCACATAGCTATGAGAAGTGTTGAACATGGACGCGCATGCAGTTGCCATACTGTATTAAAGCTTTAATCAGGATAAAACCGTATATTAAAAGCTAACATAAGCAGTAACATTTACAAATAACAGCGTATCTAAAAGTATGAGACAACAACAAACAAAAAAGTCGGTTTAGCCAATCACAACACACTGGGCTAGCTAACCAATCAGAGCCCATCGCCTATTTCTGAGGGAGGGGGCTTCATAAAAGAAGGAAATTATCAGACTGTTTCTGAGAGAAGGGATAGAGCTGTGTTGAATAAAGGTAAATTATGTGAAAAATAATGCGTTTTTTAAAAAACGAAGCATTAACACATGTTAGACTGCACCCCATAAAAACAATCAAGCCTAGAAAAAAACAAGTGAACCACCCCTTTAAAACACTTTCTGGCTGTCTAATTTTCTGGTTAATCTTCTTGAAGTAGTATAATTTTTTCAGGCAAATTAATGGTAAAGGTATTTCTCATATAGATAAAAAACAAACACAGAAACACCAATATGCAAGTTTCAAGATATTTTAGTCCAGTTTCAGGTGCAAAGCTTCAATAGGATTTGAAGGGTAAAGCCTGATCTTTCTGCATTATATTTTCTGGCATATAACATTTTTTCACCCTGCATATGTGTTTAAGATTGCTTCAGGTTTTCTCTGTAAAATATTTAGTAAAGTAGTATATTTAAAAAAAAAAAATACAAAATTAAAATGCCAAACAATAATGCTAAAAAAAAAGTGAAAAAGTGAAAGTGAAGTGACATGACATGTGGCCAATTATGGTTACCCATACTAGGAATTGGGAGAGAGCGCTGTACATTCACTCCCCCCACCTACAATCCCTGCCGGACCTGAGACTCAAACTTGCAACCTTTGGGTTACGAGTCCGACTCTCTAGCCATTAGGCCATGACTTTGACGACTTCAAAATTACTGAAACAAAATAAAAATGTAAATAAATAAATAAACCTAAGGGGAACTGATCTTTACAAAAATTGAATTACATTGGGACCAGTTTATTAAATTAGAAAAGAGAAGTTAGTTCTGAGAAAATGTTTTTACAGGTGCTTTTTGGTTCTATGTCATTTTAATGCAAATTCATACATTTAGGCCTGGTTTCACAGACAGGGCTTAGACTAAACCAGGTTTAGGCTATAGTTCAATTAGGACATTTAAGAAATTTTTATAAACTTGCCTTAGAAAAAGCATTACTGGTGTGCATTTTGAGACAAAATAAAGGCACTGATATAATTTAAAATCAGTCAGAGCAAGTTTCTTTCAGTTGAAACAGCTCAGATTTAAATTTTAGTCTGGGATTAGGTTTAAGCCCTGTCTGTGAAACCGGGGGTTAGTGGCTTAATTGTCCTAAATTGTCCCTTTCTAGGGCCAGTGTAGGCTATGTTTTGGCTCTAAGAATTTTATAGCTATGTAGTAAAATTTTGTTTTCTGCCAGGATGACATTTGCTGATTGCTTTTTTCATTAACCTCCAAATACCTTTAATTTTTTCAATCTTTTATTTTTCAGAATTACCAATCCTGACAAAGCATCTCAGATTCTTCAAGAAGTCAAACAAAAAATCAAATCCTTTCCTTTCAACTTTCGAGGAGCTGTAATTTTGAGCGGTCAAGAAGAAGGGGTTTACGGTTGGGTCACTGTCAACTACCTTCTTGAAAACTTCATAAAGGTGCTTTCTTGTTAGAGTATGTCTGTCTTTTCTTGTCAGTGAAACTGTCCATAAATTAATTATCCTTCAACTTTGTTGCTTATTATCATCATAGACATCTAAATATTAAGCCAGTGTTTTGATTTATGGTACTGTATTTTTACTGGTTTCTCAACTAGTGCCATCTAGTGGCCATTTTCTGTCTTTGTTTGCTCATTTATACAGTATGGCTATGTGGGCCGATGGCTTAACTCTGGCAGAAAAACAGTCGGAGCGCTGGATTTAGGTGGGGCGTCCACACAGATCACCTTTGAGACCCCAGAAACAGTTGAGAACGAGTTGAACAGCATGACCATGCGTCTCTATGGGCAGGAGTATTCCCTCTACACGCATAGTTACCTGTGTTATGGTAAAGAAGAGGCTCTGCACCAGATCCTGGCCTACCTGGTTGAAGTATGACATTATGCATCACAAATCAATAATACCTCATTGTATATATGTAGACACTATTTTTGTGTTGGAGACTTCTTGGTGAATTGTTTTTGTCCTGTCACAGTTTACATTTCTCTAGTATGTTTTCATTTCAGTCGCAGGGTAATATTAGCAAAGTGTACCATCCCTGCTACCCATCTGACTTCACTGATGTCTTCAAGCTGGAGCAAGTGTTTGACTCTCCTTGTACAGTGTCTAAGAGACCCAAACCTTACAACCCTCATTCCTGGATCAGGGTGCAAGGCACCGGGGACTACCAAAGCTGCGTTGGCAACACTTCTAATATATTTTCCTTCCAGTTCTGCCCCTTTTCTCAGTGTTCCTTTAATGGAGTTTTCCAGCCCAACATCAGCGGGGGCTTCATGGTGAGAGGCCCAGAAATGGACAAAGTGGAACATACAAGTTTAATAGAAAAAAATCTTATGTATTTGTCTTTCTTTTAGGCCTTCTCTGCTTATTTCTTCACTCACAGTTATCTCCAGCAAAGTACAGGGATAAACATCAGAACCTCTACTCAGCTAGAGGAGGCTACCAAAGCTGTGTGCAATATGACCATAGAAGAGGTATAATTTGTACTAATGCTAATACTAATGCTTGTTTTAACTACCTCAGAATAAATTAAAGCCAGTACAACAAATGCTATCAGGATGTATGAAACATGATGTACTTTACAATTTAAATATTTGAATTTTTCCCCCATTGTAGTAATAAGATTTTTCATTTTTTTTTTTTTTTTTTTTTTTTTTTTTTTATTTAATTGTCATGAAAATAATGACACCGATCTAAAATCTTAATTGGCCTGTAACTGGAAAGGAAATATATTATCTTTATAGTCAAATATTAATATTTTAATTACTTTTATACATTTTTTAGGTCAAATTGATATTTCAACCTGAAATCAATTTGAATAAAAATTAAACACACACACACACACACACAATATATATTTAGCATTTTTAGTAATATTGATTTCAGAAGAAATTATTTCAAATATGAACTGGATATTTTCTAGCCAGGTTTTATGAATGTGAAAAAAAAATGTCTTTGTGTTTATCATAAAAATACACTGTATAAACATGCTGCATTGCATCTCTGAATTCCTGTCAATTTTAAAAATTCATATCCATATCTTCTGTTCATTATAGATGACCAAGAAAGCTCCTGACTTGAAAAAATACCTGAAGGATTACTGTGCAGTTGCAGTGTATATACAAGTGCTAATGCTTAGGGGTTATAACTTTGATGAGAGTTCTTTCCAAAATGTTGCTTTTCAGAAAAAGGTGAGTTTATCAAAAATATACTCATATGCTTGTACATCACAGAACCACCTTAACCACAAATCATTTTACAGTTAGCTTCTGAATAAAATGCAAATTGTGTGAATGTGAACTAAGTAAACAAAAATGCAAAACCACACATTCAGTCTCTACTATGTCACAGGCAGGTGAGGCGTCTGTGGGCTGGGCTCTGGGTTATATTCTCAGTGTGAGCAGTCTTCTTCCAGAAGAACCTGCAGGCATCAGGAAGGGCTTGTGTCCTGCAGCATGGCTTGGCTTGTTGATTCTCCTAACCATCCTCCTCATTGCCACTTTCTGTTACATGGCTCTAGTGATTCGGAGGAAACGGAGTGATGACGTTGTCTCATAGCTCACTGCTATGCCTACAGTTGTTCTATGTGTTTGGACAGACTCCACAAAAATGTAATGTTTGCATGAATAATGCATTCATACTGTACTGTCTGTGCTAATATTGCATCTAATTTAACAGAAAATTTGTTTGTTTTGCCAATGACAAATTTTACAGAAAGACATCAAAACTAGTTAGGAAATTAAATTGAGGCACAACATGAATAACACTAAATAATATTATATATCGGTATACTATGGTATATCTGATACCAGCACTGTTCTATTGTACAATCTCAGTTTTAACAGATTACAGCAAATTTCTTTGTCTTTGTTGATCTTGTGTGATACACTAATCAACTTTATTAAAGGAAATATATGTCTTTTTGATGAGGATTGTCGATGATATCTGATCAGTGAACTCTAGTTATGTATCTCTTTATTTGGCCAGTTCACATTTGTCTTCAGTTAATGTACAATAAGAAATTCACAGCATTTCAAATATTTCTCAGACTGAAGGAATAAAACTGTAGTGTTAATAATTTACCAAGTTGAATTTATTTCTGATGCAGGTTACTGAAGAAAGTATATACAAAACCATGTTTAACAAATACATATTAAACTATAGACCCATTTAATTTTTTACCATAGATTCTAAAGTTAGCTTATGTTTGAATGACCCTGTTTGAATGAGATCTCGTTTTACTTCGTTATAATTTTACAGTATTAACAACTTATTTTGTTTTTTATAAGAAACTGCTTATCATTGTATTTATAATTGTGGGCTTCAAAATATGGTAACCCATAATATATTTGCTTTGTACAATATAACACAAAGATTTATTTTTAGATTTTTTAATTTACTAAGACAATAACATAAAACACCAGATGATGGCAGTAAGCATCTGCTTAATTCAGTGGCTGGCACGTAAAGAAATGTGATCCTACTGCGCATGCGCATATCACCTCCCTTCATATCTTAGCCATTGCCATGTAGAGCGCTTTGGCATTTTAGCTTAATCTGCTACAGTTTTGATTTATTTCCAGGTTTAAAAAAAAAATGTCCGAGCTTGAAACTAGTGTATCGTGTTCTCCGCAGTGTGCGGAAACAGACAAAATCAAAAATACAGACGATATCAATCCAGAAACAGTACAAAACACTAACACCAATATTTCTCAGGTTGAAGAAGGTGAGTTTATCAGTTGAAACCCTTCAAAAACTTCAAAAATGCCGTCATGTGGAGTTTATTTGCATCGAATGCTCGTGTTTGAGTTGTTTGAGATGGATTCATGGGTGGTAATAAAGCTTAGCGAGTAAACAAGCTAGGCTAGGCTAAATATTAGTACCCATCATTCATCTTAAACAACCACCACAAAAATCCCTTTTTAAAACTATCTGTGTTTTTAAGTCGATTGTCATCGTTCATTGGCTGAAAATACACGTTAAGACACAAAACGTGGAGTTAATGAATCATACCATCGTGTAAATAGATTAATTCGCCGATAAAGCAACAATCAACAAGTTAGCCAGGTAGCGAATGCCTTTTTAGCCTCATAATAATCCTCCATTGCCATTGTTATGGAAAGTAACAGCTCGTTTGTGACATTTCAAAACGTTTTAGTGCATTTTAAGTTTCTAAAATGCCATGAAGTTTCCATTTTAAATCTAATTCGTGTCATTTTATTAAAAAAAATAGTATCACATTTTATAAGGGTTTATGTTCAGACAGTAGTACAAATAAGTACATATTAATAAATGCTAATTTAGTTATGTTTTTATGTAGTTTTAGTATCCACAAATTTATTGGTAACTAGATTATTTGAGCAGATAGTACAATGACACATTCAGGAACAAACAGCCTTACCGAATTAAAACGTTTTATGCAAATAATAGAATTCAAGTAAGTTTGACACGTTTTACAATAACATGAGCTCTTTCATTTAGATATATGTACATTGCTGCATGGCATTCATTAAAATAATGTCAAAATAATGCACGGCATGTACAAATTGTCTATTTAGGTATGCACAGCATCAAGACCATGTCATTTAGTGGGCTAATATTATTAGTGATTTTTTAATTTAAATCAATTGGAATAATTTAGATTTTACATTATGATGTACCGATGCCTAGATTCAGTTGTAACATATAAAACTATTGTTCTTTAACTGGATTTGTGTTTTTATAGCAGATTTCTAATATGGGTCAGTTATTAGTTATCAGGCATAACATGAAATAGTTGTCAATGTATCCTTAATTCTGTTAAAATATCTTTTTTTTGCACCACAACAACCAGATGCATTATTACTTGCATGCTTTGCTTGCACACATTGGGCCTCATTCATGAAATTTAAGCAGAACGAATTTCTCTGTAAAACCATTTGTGTATAAATGGTCACATTTAGTTCAGTCCAACGATTTATGTCAGAATGAATTCATGAGCAAAATTGATTTTGCTTATGCTTTTTTCATGAAATCACAATTTGGCTACTGATATTTTTATTTCAAGTCTGTTTCTTGTTCACTAGTTTTACCAAAAGCCTCACAGTGTATCTAAAACTTATTTCTAATCATAAATTTCATGTTCTGTGAAAATCAGATATGTAAAAAAAAAAAGAGCCATGTGAGATCATGTCTATGCTAACCACATCAGCTACATTACACAAAAGTATGTTAAGATTATTTCATACAGTAAATATTATTTTACGTTATTTTCGCTTTTAATGCCTGATTTTTCTGCAGGGTCTCAGAGCGACAGTGGTCTTCTCAAAGGCTTGTTGACAGATAACTTCTGTCACGTCTGTGAAGCAACCCTGCTTTACGAGTCCCAGAGAGTTTCTCATTATGAGGTTTGTGAGGTGGTTTTTCATGCAACTGTATCAAGTTTTTTCAGGCAACCTCAAAAAGCTGCAGTCATATTTCTAACATTGGTTTCTATGTTGCCAGGGGAAAAAGCATGCACAAAGAGTCAGGATGTACTTGCAGAACAAGAACACTAAAATAAATAAGCCGAGCCAAGATTGTGGAGGCCTTTTGGTATGTAACAGATCATACAGAATATGCATATATTGCTCTTAAGTGTGTGGTAATATATAATACTTCATATTTTTTTACAGAGAGGTCTGTCTGCAGAGAAGTTCTGCGAGCTGTGCAACATGGTATTCAGCTCTCCAACTGTGGCCAAGTCGCACTATGAGGGCAAAGTTCATGCAAAGAACATGAGAAAAACCAATCCTCTGCCACCTGGAGGTGAGTAAAATCAAACTGGGGACTGTTAGGTTTGACTCTTCGCCATTGTGGGCTAAATCTGTCATAACACTATTATGTTATATTCAACTTTCAGCGCCCGTCCTAGAATCCACAATTCCTGATGTACACCCATCAGAGGCTGCTGTGCAGAATCAGATCAGTCTGGAGCAGAAGGACACTTCTGGCTTGGGCGATCAAGAGGTTGATCTCAGTGACCCCAACAAGTACTGTACACTGTGCAGCGCTTCCTTTAACAACCCTCTGGTCGCCCAGCAGCACTACAGCGGCCGGAAGCATCAGAGGAACCAGGCCCGGCAAGAGATGCTGGATCAGATGGGGGAACAGTCAGAACATGGTATGCATTAAAATATATCTACATTGACCAATTTAAAAAATGTTCAAATTAATGACAAATTTTTATTCAGAAATGCTTAATTAATTAATTATATGAAATTAAATAATTATATTAAGTATACAAATTAAAATAATTTTGTAATGTCGCATGTAATCCATTAATGTAAACAGAAATATTTTTGTACTCAGTGGTCGTTCATGATTTTTACATATTCATGGTTGAGAATTTACTGTACATATGAAATTTTCTTGTTATTCTGTTTTTCTCTCACGCACACATACAGCTAACTCCCTGACTTGCCCGATTTGCTGTCTGACACTCAGCTCAGTAGAGATGTACCAGGCACACATGCAGGGAAACAAACACTTTGTCAAGTGAGTGACGTTGCTCTCATTCGTTATTTTATCTGATGCCTTTTTTTGTTACAGCCACTAGGATTTGGATCTTGATCTTGTCAGCAAATATTTGACATTTTTAGAATGACATTTTTAAAATGAAATCAGAAAGAATCTTACTTACATTCTAAATGTGTGTTCATGGGCAAAATCCCACCATAGATTCTTCTTTTTATTTATTTATTTATTTTTTTCATTTAATATAAAATATTTTTTCTGTGCAAATTTGTAAGATTAGTGGCAAATTGATTAATTTCCTGTTGACTTTAGGTGAAATTTGAGTCAATCTTCTTTAAAATAAACTTTTTTTACATATTGCAGTTATTTCTGGATTTTACATATTTGCATACACTGTAAAAAATAATTTTTAAAGTTGTAAATAAAAATAAGGCTGTACGTTTTGCAAGAAAATACTACTTATTGTTAAGTTTTCTGATTTTGCCATTTCTTCGTATTTTTTTGAGAAATTTACTAGCAATTTCTAAATGTGAAAATTGTTTCCAAGACTAAATGGAATGTCATTAATCTTTGCCCTTAGAGAGAAGAAAGTTATGGAACTGTGCCAATCTCAGAAGAAAGTGTACGACTCCTTCCAGGATGAGCTGGCTGACTACATCCAGGTGCAGAAGGCCCGGGGACTGGATCCCAAAGCAGGGCTGGGCACCATAGGACAAGCAAGCAAGGGCCTGGATGAGAGTGTGAAAGAAGGTCCACAGAAAGCAGAAGAGATGCCTCATCCTGGCCAGCTGGTACCACATTTTCCATCTCCTGGTTTACCTCAACCTCACTGGCACCCACAATTCCAGTCTCAGGTCAATCAGTTCGGCTTTGGTATGAGAGGCCCTGTCCCACACTATCGGCCGGGATTTATGCCCCATGCCCATCCTCCTTTCCCACCTGGTCACCTGTATAAAAGAGGGAGGAGCCCTGAGTCATTTAGCTCCTCCTCTTCCTCAGACTCCTCCTCCTACACTAGCAGCAGTAGTGACAGCAGCAGCAGTTATGACAGCAGAGAGAGGAGGAAACGGAAGAGGAAGATGAAAAAGCGAGGGAAGAGCAGAAGAGACCAGGAGGAAGGGTCTGCTACGGAACAAGTAGAAAGGAAAAAGAGGCGGAAGGGAGACAGGAGAGGAAGTGTAGAAGGAGAAGATGATAGCAAGAAATGGAAGGAGAGAAGAAAAAGAGAGAGGAGCTCTAGTGAAGACGAGGAAAGCAGAAGTAAAAAAAGAGCAAGCAAGAAAAGTAGGAGGCATGGGGAGAGACGAAAAGAAGAGGAACTCTTGGAGAAACAAGAGGTTGAAGTGCACGAAGAACCACAAGGAAAGATGGAGGAACACGTAGAGGTCAGGACAGAAATGAAAGATGGCAAACACAAACACAAAAAAGAGAAGAAAAAAGGAAAAGAGAAGCTGAATCGAGAAGACAACAGGACAGAGGAGGAAAGGCTCTGGGATGAAACGATTCTTGGTGTTTTTTAGACTTTAGTTTTTTTCGATGATGGTCTGACAGTATTGTTCTAATAAAACTGCACAGGACCCCAGAAAAGTGTTTTGCTGAAATCTTCTGGGCCCTTCTCACTATTTATGCTTTCTGAAGAACTCTAAAGGCCTTTCTTTTATACAGAAACTCATCTGATCACAATTCCTTTTTAAGGAATCAACAGTGAAAATTTTGTCATGATTCATTCACCCTCATTTCATTTCAAACTCATATGACTTCTATGGAACACAAAAATAGATGTTAAGAATGTTCATGCTGCTTTTTTCCAATGCAACGAATGTGTGTGGAAGCTCGGAAAATGACAAAAAAGTAGAAGTCAATATGACTTCTGCACTATATTTCAAGTTTTTTGATTTTTGGTAAGGTACAGATCAAAACTGATTGAAAATATTGGTTCAAAATATTGCTGCCTGCAATTCCACATATTCAACCTTGCTGTGTTGTGAGAAAGAAACTACAGCGTTTGTTAAAAACTGGCTTCAAACGACTTTATGCTGCACAATTTGTATGAATTAACTGCTACTTTTAAGGTTCTTTTGTCACTTTTAGAGCTCGACAACATTCATTCACTTTCACAGTGTGGAAAAGAGCAACGTGAACATTATGCTAAACCTCTTCTTTTGTGTTCCACAGAAGAAAGGAAATCATACAGGTTTGGAATGAGATGAGAGTGAGCAAATGATGAAAATGTTCATTCCTTGAAATGCTCAGGACTACAGACTTTAGGATGTCTCTAGAGCTGCACTGCTCTCTTGGGGAAATCACTGACTTTATACCTTGTGGTGTGATGCAAAAACACTACGTGAGCCATCCACCCATGTCCATTTGGATGTGTCCATCAATTTGCTTCATGCTTTGATCAAATAAACCCCTCCCACTGTGTATATCAGCATAGACTTAGTATTTATTGTTACTTTTTCTAAAAATCTCTTATACATGAACTTTTGTTTCTGACTTAATTGAAGCATTTACAGTTTTAGTCTCAAGGGGGCGTTGATTGCAAATGTACACACTACACTGTGGATCTGCTAGAAACCTCTTTCAGACTTAATCTCTCTGTGTTCAAGAAAGACATGAAAACAGGAATGAATGGTGAGAAAATGAAGAGTTGTCAGAATATAGAATATCGCATATTGTAAACATTTCCCTGAATCAGAAGAGCTCGGCCTGCAATCCTTGTTTTTGTTGCATTTCTGTGAATGTGTGAAACAGTAATGTGACGCCAGGCTCATTTGATGCTGGAATATTTTTTGTTTGCAGGTCTAACAGGTGCAGGAGTTGAATGAGGACACGACTGCTACTCTGTTGACCTCTTTCTTGCATAGAGCTGCATTTCCTTTTTTGTGAGTTAACTTATCACAATCATGCAATCATATGTTTATTTAATGAGTGTGCTGCTAAGCCAATTTCCAATGTCTCCATTAAACAATCCTTAATTTACTTTTGGATCACTTTCTGAGCGCTCGGGACATAATGATCATGGGAAGATGAATGTGGTTGTGTTTCAAAGGAAATGATACTTGAAAATGCATTATTTACGTGTTTTTTTCATTATTTTTTTATCACATTCGCATGTAAAATGTGATGGTTTGGTCAAAAATTACCATTTTGTAATTTACTAATCCTAATGTCGTTCCAAACTCATGAAAATGGGGATGTGGGCTGGTTATCTCCAAAAGGACAAAAAAAAGCATCACAAAAGTTTTGCACTGTATTCCAAACCTTATATGTATTTTTGTGTCATAAACAGTAAAGATTCTGCTCTCCACACCCATTTAAATATGGTGCCTTTAGATGCATAGGTTTAGAACATGAGGTTTGAAATGAATGTTATCCATTTATCCACCTTCCGATTTCCAATTTCAAGCCAATTTGAAAATGTGGATGCACAATTGGAATTATAAATGACTATAATAATTTTATGATACTTATATTTATGATAATTTATGGTGACTTGTTGTCATTTTAAAGACATGCCTGATCCCCATTCCCTTTCACTATATAAAATATAGTATTGTTCAACATTTCTACTTTTGTGTCCGACTAGAAAAAGTCAGACATGCACTACCTGTCAAAAGGTTGGCATAATTAACTTTTTTCAAATGTTTTTGAAAGAGGTCTTTTATGCTCACCAAGGCTGCATTAAGTTGAACAAAATACAGTAAAACTGTAATATTGTGAAATATCATTGCCATTTAAAAGAGCGGTTTTCTATTTTAATATAATTATTCCTTAAAATGTATTCCTATTTTAAATTAATTTATTTCTGTGATGGCAAAGCTGAATTTTCAGCAGCCATTACTTTAGTCTTCAGTCATGATCCTGCAGAAATCATTCTAATATGCTGATTTGCTTACATTTAGTAATCGAAGTAATATAGTGTACATGGAACAACATGATGCCCTTTAATTTGCACGCATGATGAATTGTAATGTTTGTAATTCTACTAAAACATGTTTTGATCTTCAAATGCACTTGTATTAAATTGTGGATCTAACACCTGTAGCTTCTCGCACAGCTTTTGTACTTCAGAACTATATGAACTTTTTTCCAAGTCTTTGTAACCGCAGAGTTGAAAGCCCTCCGTAGACACAAGCTCGTCGACAGTCGCACTAAAGCGTTCTCTCGAGCCCCCTGAGATCTCCTGTTTTCAAAGAATTGTGTGGTTCGGCTCCCTGTGTCTTTGTCGTACCCTCGACCTCCAAGGCGTGTGCGTCTCCCACATCCTCCCCTCTTCACGACCCCTCCACGGGCCCATGAGCCCCTCGAGCCCTCCTCAAGAGACGAGGGCCAATGAAAGAGATCTTTTAACACCTCAGTTCGAAAACTCCCACACAAGCCCCTCTGAGCTTCAAGCTCCAGAGTCCCACACACTCAAAAACTTAATTAGTTTATCTAGAATGTGGAGTGGAAAACAAGCACGTTGGTTTGTGAGTTGAGAAATGTTGGGCTTCTGGATAAAAACCAACAATTTGACTTTGTGGTGCGAAAACAGGCCTGCAGTTTTGTTCTTAAGGGTTGTTCGGTGTTACTGTTGTGATATAGGGTGGAATTTTCAGTGCATATTAATGAACAAACCTTCATTTATTTATTAATTATTATGAACTAAATGTGTACGTAACTTAATATGATCTGCTCTATCAATATGCGATTGCAGTGTTAAGCGGTTTTACATTGTGTGAAAAAAAAAGTTTTCCAACATGCATTTTTTATAGTTTATGATGTTAAAGTTTAAGTGCTTTAGTTTTTCTTTAATTTGACCTAACTATTAATTCAGCCAAAATATGTGATTGAGTAGATACAACTGTGTACATATAATACCAAACTAGTTTTGTATATGTATTTCTAAAATATTCTAAAATAATATTTTTTTATAATTTTATGTATCTTTTAACATCTTTATTTTAATTTAATCTTTTGTGAATACTTTTATGCATTTTCAATTTTCTTCATCAGTAATTAAATTCAAAGTGGCTGTACTTTGAAGTAAATATTTTAAGCAGCATTTAAACTTTTTAAGCACACATTTTGGGGGCATAACGTGACACGATAAAAATCAACACTTCGAGATTAAACGTATTTTGTTTTCCACGGCACAATATTGTTGATTATATGCCACCGTCGGTGCTTTTTCACTATTAATGTGGGTATTGGTTAATTAAGTGATTTTGTCATAAATCATCATTGGCAGTGTGTTTGGTTGAATATGTGATTCATTTCAGTCTTACCTGATATTTATCACAAGCGTTTTTATATTACGTGTTTGTGTTTGATTTGATACAGTGCCAGCTGTTGTGTTCTGTGCACAGATGTAGGTGTTTCTCAGGACACACACCTGCATTTGGGTTAAAGATCATTTTAGGAAAGACGTTTGGGGTTCAGCAAACCTGTGCATTTTGTTTCAGATTAAAGAGAAAAACAAAGTCCTTTAACATTCACTAGAACTACACAAATAATAGAATGACCAGTGGGTTTTTCTAAATATGTGAATTTCTAGCTATTGAAATTGATTTTCAGATTGTTTAGATCTCTTTTGTGAGTTCAGTTTAAACCTCTAACTTTTCCAACAACGTGTTGGTTAAAATATACGTTGAGGTCTTCAAAATGTCTATTAAATCAACTCTACTCTCTGAATATGACTAAAACAGAATTTAAAAAGCTGAAATGCATCATAATTTATATATTAGGAACAGTGGATTGAGAAAATCAAAGATGACTTTGTACTTCAGAGGGTTTATTGAAATCATGCTTTTGCATGTAAAATAGCCAATAGCTGCTATTTACTTGCTAACGAAACTTGAAATGTGTGTATTTCCGAAAAAGTCTCCTGATTTTTCCTTGATGTTTTCTTCTGTGTGTTTCCTCTGACTCATTCTCTGATAGGCTGTCAGTAATTGGTTCATTGGCCCCACACACTGCGGGCCCTCCTTTCTGCATGACACATGAAGAACAGAAAGGAAAACACAGACACACAGTTGACAGCTCACACACAGACGCCCAAGGATGACCCTCTCTTGCATGTGCTTTTGTTTGTTCGTATGGATGGCAGGTAAGAACTTTCCTTTGCATTATATTTTAAGAGCTGTCAAACTTTTAATGTGATCAGAACTGAAACTTAAGTGATACAGTAATATGAGCTCAGTGTGAGTACATCTGCAGAAGTCAAAGTAAATTGATGACTGTTGTTATGTCTTTTGTTTGAATACTGTCATAAATTTATGTCATCCTGCAAAGATGGTATTTTTAAAGAATCTTATATAATCTTAATAACATGGTGTGAAGGTATCGATGCTGCGTTGTAGGCCCAAAAACGTTTGCATCCTTAGGCAATTACGAGATTTCTTGCATTTTAAAACGTTTGGAGAGCATTTTAAAAGTGTTTGCATATTTTGCTAACACAATGCTTTCACATTTGATATATATAAAAGTTTTCCGATAATTATCAGAGACAAGCCAGGTAATCTCTCACACTCAAATTTATGTAAAATAACAGCTTGTTCATTTGCATACATATATATTTTAATGTAAAAGAAATATATGTATTAATGCATATATTCTTAAAATGCTGACTATTCTTTTTTATTATTATTATTATTATTTATCGCTCTGGTTTGTTTGTTGCTGGTTTTCCAGAATGATCTGCTCTGTCGAAGTCAGTGTTAAACAAAAATCGCTTTGCAACTGAAATCTGATTCACTAAAGACTCACTTTCTATGCTTTCACACTCTCAACCTATTTTGGATTTCATACCAAACTGAATAGTGTAATTTGAGTGAATGGATTTTTTTTTTTTCCGTTCTCTGACATATGAACTATAATGTTTTCTTCGCATATGAATCAATGCCCACATAAGCATATCTCAAAGTGTCTTTCTAAAAAAATGTGCTTTCCCCGCCAGGCACTGATAAGAGAGGAAAACAATTTTGCAAGAGGATATAGACATAAATTTATGTCATCCTGCAAAGATGGTATTTTTAAAGAATCTTATATAATCTTAATAACATGGTGTGAAGGTATCGATGCTGCGTTGTAGGCCCAAAAACGTTTGCATCCTTAGGCAATTACGAGATTTCTTGCATTTTAAAACGTTTGGAGAGCATTTTAAGTGTTTGCATATTTTGCTAACACAATGCTTTCACATTTGATATATATAAAAGTTTTCCGATAATTATCAGAGACAAGCCAGGTAATCTCTCACACTCAAATTTATGTAAAATAACAGCTTGTTCATTTGCATACATATATATTTTAATGTAAAAGAAATATATGTATTAATGCATATATTCTTAAAATGCTGACTATTCTTTTTTATTATTATTATTATTATTTATCGCTCTGGTTTGTTTGTTGCTGGTTTTCCAGAATGATCTGCTCTGTCGAAGTCAGTGTTAAACAAAAATCGCTTTGCAACTGAAATCTGATTCACTAAAGACTCACTTTCTATGCTTTCACACTCTCAACCTATTTTGGATTTCATACCAAACTGAATAGTGTAATTTGAGTGAATGGATTTTTTTTTTTTTCCGTTCTCTGACATATGAACTATAATGTTTTCTTCGCATATGAATCAATGCCCACATAAGCATATCTCAAAGTGTCAATGCAAAAAAAAATGTGCTTTCCCCGCCAGGCACTGATAAGAGAGGAAAACTATTTTGCAAGAGGATATAGACAACACAAATTGCCCATAAGCATACTGTCTGTCTATTCAGATTTCCATTCATACATAACAAGGAAATTACTGCCTTCTAGTTCTGTATTGTCTATTGTGAAAGGGACTTTCAGCCTTTTCGGTTCTGCTTTTTTCCACAGTTTCTAAATCTAATTTAAACCTGTCATCTTTTACTGTTTTACTTTCTGCATAGAAAAAAGCTGAAAAATATCTGATTTAATACTGTATGCTAGTGCCCTTTGAATAGGTACCATTCAGACACCTACAATTTTTTAAGTAGCTAAACTGTCGTTAAACCCAAAAATCAAAATGTGCATAACAAACAAAGCAGAACTTATGATTTTTTCTTTGTTTCTCCTTTAGCGGCTTTACTGCCCACCTTCCAAGCTATGCCGTCTGTTCTCTACGCCAAAATCAACGGCTCGGAAAGTATGTCCTGTGAATGTCCAGATCACTCCTGCCAGGAGGTTTTTTGGTACCGATACCTTGAGAGGACAAAGACTCTTCAGTTCCTCTTGTATGTCAACAGCGCTGGCAGAGAGCAACATGGAGAAAACCTGATCGCCACTCGCTTCAAGGGCTCGGTGTCCTCTGGTCAGAGGGTGGTCTACACCCTGCGTATAACAGGACTTCAGGAGGAAGAAATCGGCCTCTATTCCTGCATGTTTAAAACCAAAAATATTATGCCTGTTGGATATTACATAATGCCTGGAGGTATAGCAGCGCTCTTCTTCTCTGTTTTGGTCCCTTACCCTGTTTTTTCTTTAGTGGCATTACTGATGGTTAGTGAACGAAGATTTTAGGATGAAAAAAGTCATGAAGACCAAAGAAGTGAATCTGAGACGCCTAATGTTGGTTTGGGCACTAGCATTGAACTTTCCATCCCTAAAGTGAGAGGATCTTTACCTGGTGTTAAGTTGGAGATGGTTCCAAATATACACGTTATACAAGTATACATGTCAATCCTGGTGCTCAAGAGCATCTCAAGATCTTAACTGACTAATAGGAGACATAGTAAGACTGAAATAGAAGTGAAGTGTTCAAAGATGCGGAGATGTTTGCCCTCAGAATCCTAGAGTTCTGTTAGTTTAAGCAGCCTTGACCTGTCTTAGATCTTCTAGTCTGGAAAGTTCATGTTAATCGACTTGGTTGTCAAGTTGCTGGACACTGTGGGTGCCAAATGTTCTAGTTTTATATATGTTCTGTCTTGATGTTCTCTGTTCTTTGTTCTCCAGTGAACCCTCCGACAGTTCAGCCGCCAACAGTTAAGACCAAGACACCCAAGAAGACCTGTAATTGCAAACCCCCCAGCTCTCCTAAAGGTGCGGACTGAGACGTGCTGTTAGATGTTACTGATTTTGTGCTGTTTTATACTGTTTAGTTTAATTGGTTTGTTTGTGTCACGTTGCAGGCTGTGAACAATCAGTGCTTTGGCCGGGCATTGGTGCTCTTTTGCTTTTGGCCATTACACTTGCTGGCACACTTTACTACTTCAGTCGTGAGTGCACACACATACACACACACACACACACACACACACAGAGAAGATGCGGAGATGTTTGCCCTCAGAATCCTAGAGTTCTGTTAGTTTAAGCAGCCTTGACCTGTCTTAGATCTTCTAGTCTGGAAAGTTCATGTTAATCGACTTGGTTGTCAAGTTGCTGGACACTGTGGGTGCCAAATGTTCTAGTTTTATATATGTTCTGTCTTGATGTTCTCTGTTCTTTGTTCTCCAGTGAACCCTCCGACAGTTCAGCCGCCAACAGTTAAGACCAAGACACCCAAGAAGACCTGTAATTGCAAACCCCCCAGCTCTCCTAAAGGTGCGGACTGAGACGTGCTGTTAGATGTTACTGATTTTGTGCTGTTTTATACTGTTTAGTTTAATTGGTTTGTTTGTGTCACGTTGCAGGCTGTGAACAATCAGTGCTTTGGCCGGGCATTGGTGCTCTTTTGCTTTTGGCCATTACACTTGCTGGCACACTTTACTACTTCAGTCGTGAGTGCACACACATGCACACACACACACACACACACACAGAGTTTGCACATGTCTTTGTAACATACTGGTACATCACCGTGTGACATGTTTACTCTCGCATACGTAGTTTCAGATGTTCAGAAGTCCATTGTGAGAGTTTCTGAAGTTCTACCTCACAGTGCTTATAATTTAGTAACAGTATAAACAGTTTACTGTACAATAAAAGTGAAATTATTTTGAATAGGAATTTTATATAAAATGTCATATGCACATAAACTCGGCCTCATACATTTTTTTCTTTTTTATATATTGGGACAGGTCTACCTAAGAAGTGTAGACATCAATTTACCAAGTAAGTCAAGAACTGTTTCAACGTGCTGCTACATAATGAGGTTTAAGTGTTTTTTTAAAAACATTTTAATTAATGCTTTTTATTACTAAAATGTCTCTTAAATTATCTTTTGTCCTTTCAAACATGAAAAATTAGCAAATAAACGGAAAGGTTATGGCTGTGGGTTAATGTTCATTTGCGACACTGGCGTCTCGCATCAAAGCCCTTTACATATGCGTTTGCATTGGTTCTGTTTCAACAGTTCGAGTTATTAGACTCAGAAAAACTTGGATAAAAACCTTAATAGTTTGCTAGCCTATTTCTGACAGTATCATGAGCTTTAAGACATTTTTTAAACTTTTTAAAAATATACTGTGTCATTTTCTCCATAGGACGAATCAGTTGCGATGAGGTGGAAGAACACACTCTTCATGTCGAAACAAATGTAAGCATTTGGATTAAAACATGACTTACCTTTAAAAAGTTTAAATACAGTCTTTGTCTTATTATTTTTTGTTCATTTGCAGGCGGTGGTCTTTTTTCTCTCCAAAGTGTGGACCTGTGTCGAAGTCTCCGAAATTTTGCCATGGCTTCACAAATATCAAATATATTGGTTTTTAGAATGTAAAAAAATGTGTATATAAAAATAATAGCTTAAATGTACAGTTCAGTGTTTCATCGGACGTTATTCAACCAACAGTCCACTTAATGAATTAGATTCATTGTCTGACTTGACCGAATCAAACCAGAGCAGAACATACCACCAGGATCACCACAAAACCGAACTCACTCTAAACTTGGACTAACCTCAGCTGTCTTAATCGAGCTTCGAGTTTTGTTCTTGCCAGTACAGTATGCTTAATTTGTGACTGAATGTACAGTTTTCTAATTTTGATATTCTTTTATCTCATATATGCTGTCGTTTTATGCTTTGATGTTATGCTCATTAAATAGTTATTTTAATCAAGTCTAAATTAAATGAGTGTATTATTGAGTGTTTCTGTGGGTTATTTCTCTGATGACACTTGTTTTGTAGGGTTTTATGGTGTCCCCCGTCTTGCATATCTGAGGGTGTGTTGGTTTATGTGTTTGGGTGTTATTAAGTTTCCCTCTCTGAGCGTGTGTGTTCTCGTTATGAAACTATAGGCCTATCACTTGATATTGTGTGAGCACAGCCAGAAAGTCTAATTAGCTTGAAGTATTTCTTACATATCAAGTCAGGGCAATAGACTACCTATACGTACATGTTCATGGTTAATGTGGTGAACTACACCTGTGGTTAGTTACTCTGCTAGGAAACCTGTGAGAATCTGAGGAGAAAGGAATTGAAACGTCCAATAAAAATCAAAAAACTCCAGCAAAAATAGACTCCACGTTGTTATATTTTCTCATATAAAAGGCAAATATGGATCAATTTAACACTTGAAATTAAAAGGATCTACTGTATAATACAGGGGGAAACAATATAATCAAAAAATAAATAAAAGTTCTGTCAAATAAACAAAAAATATGTGGGTATGAGAGAAACTGTGCTGCCATTCATGTGCAGCTGTTCTTCCTGATACTTTGAGGCAAATGAACAAACCCCTTCCTGTGCAAAAAGACAGCATTATCTCTCTCGCATCGCTCGTTCAACTTTGAGCTCTTCAGCGCTACACTAAAACAAAGCCACCACAGAGAAACCACAGACCTTGCCGCATGGAGAGCGTCACAGGCACAGACTGTTAACACAAAACCTCCATTACACGGTTTAGTTCAGTCTCTGTACTAAAGCATGTTATCATTAGTTCATTCATTTTCTAATGTTTTCAAAATAAATACTAAATAGATCAAAGAAAAAGTTTTATTTCTTTATTGATTGTACAAAATTACATGTACATGTTCAATGAAAAATGTTTTTCTTTTCCACAGAGCAAGCAGAGTGCATTACATTCATATACATACATAGCCTATAGTAGGCTATTAATACAAAACTAGAAAGTGCACAAAACTTTTTCATTTACAAAAGTATTTCAATTACATTTGGCAAATGTTTTAAAAGAGTAATACATTGCTACAATTGTTTACAGTTCTTTCAGTCTTCCTAATTTAAAGCAAAGAAAAAAAATGAGAATGCATCCCTGTTGAAAAAAACAGCATATGCTGGTTAAGTATGTTTTGACGCTGGGATGCTGGTTTATGCTGGTCCTTTGCTGGTTTAAGCTGGTCCTTTGCTGGTTTAAGCTGGTCCTT